GCCTGGCTATTTTTTTGTTGCAGCCATCATTGTTGTTTGGCCGGCCCGGGGTGGATTCGTAACCAACACCTTAGGTGTACGTGGCTGGTGCCTTACAGGTGCTGAGCCTGCATACATTTCTTTGGTTTCAAGTAGATAAGTTCCCAAGGGTTGTTGTGCTATATTTTTTTCCTATCTTGGCAGGATACAGGACAAATTTCAAGATAAAAACCTCAGCAATCATCTTTACCTCATCATTTATCATATCTACTACATCATTAAGCACTGTAGATTTTATTTCTAGTTACTTTCTTTCTTTTTTTTTTTTTTGAGATGGAGTCTCACTATGTCGCCCTTGGTAGAGTGCCATGGTGTCACAGCTCACAGCAACCTCCAACTTTTGGGCTTAAGTGATTCTCTTGCTTCGGCCTCCTGAGTAGCTGGGACTACAGACACCTGCCACAACACCTGGCTATTTTTTGTGGTGGTTGTCATTATTTAGCAGGCCAGGGCTAGGCTCGAACCCTCTAGCCTTGGTGTATTTGGCCTGCACCCTACTCACTGAGCTGTGGCGCCAAGCCTATTTCTAGCTTCTTTTGAATCCATTCTCTTCTTATTATTTTTTATTTTTGAGACAGAGACTATGTTACCCTCAGTAGAGTGCTGTGGTGTCATAGTTCACAGTAACCTCCAACTGTTAGGCTTAAGCTATTCTCTTGCCTCAGCCTCCCAAGTAGCTGGGACTACAGGTGCCCACCACAGCCCCAAGCTATTTGCTTTTGTTGTTGTTGTTGTTGTAGTTGTCATTGCTATTTAGCAGGGCTGGGTTCGAACCTGCCAGCCCCAGTGTATGTGGTGGGTGCCCTAACCACTGAGCTAGGGACACCAAGCCTGAATCCATTCTCTTCGAACATTATATTTCCATTGCCTTATTCCAGGCTTTTATTTTCTTGCCCAGTTTCCTACAAAAGCCTCCTAATCTACTTACTACAACAAAGACCATTTCACCTTACTTCCTTAAAGTATCCATTGCATATAGAAGGAGTCCTCAAACTTCTGGAGGTGGCAGAAAATCACATTGCTCTTGGAGAAGAGATCATAAATAAAAGACCACTTTGGGAAATGTGGAATGTTTAGGATTCATAAAGGTAAGGCAACGGAAAATGAAATAATCCCTCAAAGTTTGTGTGGGAGGCGGGGGAATGTGGCTCATGCCTGTAATATCAGCACTTAAGAGGCCTGGGTGGGTGGATCGCCTGAGCACACTGGGTTTGAAACCAGCCTGAGCAAGAGTGAGACCCCCATCCCTAAAAAATAACTGGGTGCTGTGGTGGGTGCCTGTAGTCCTAGCTACTTGGGAGGCTGAGGCAAACCCAACTTGTGAGCTAAGATGCCACAGCACTCTACTTAGGGTGACCAAGTAAAACTCTCTCCCTCAAAAAAAAGTTTATGCAGGAAACTAGCAGCCCATGGTTTTGCTCACAGCAACCTAGAATTCCTGGGCACAAGCAATCCTCCTGTGTCAGCCTCACAAGTAGCTGGGAGTACAGACGCATGCCACCACGCTTGGCTAATTTTTCTGCTTTTAGTTCAGATGAAGGTCTCGCTCTTCTGCAGGTGGTCTTGAACTCCTGAGGTCAATCAATCCACCCACCTTGGCTTCCTAGAGTGCTAGGATTACAGGCATGAGCCACCACCCCTGGCTAAGAAGCTATATTTTGTATCATTTTTCTTTCGCCCACTATGGTATAAGGCAGACACATTTATAATTAAATCCATTAATCATCTTGAGTTGATCACAAAGGAAGTATATGATTTGATAAGGACGTGTGAGTATCTGTTGCCCATGTTCATTCATGGTCCCTGACATATCCTGTGGTTTTCAAGGTTCCTTGTATTCTGTTCTCTTTCTGTTTTGACCTCAGGCCTGTTCTAGAGCAGTCTTTTTAACTCCTCTTGCAGTGTTGTTTGAAAGCAAAGCCATAATCACAAAGACATAGCAGAGTTTTTCTATTCTTTTTTTTTGACTGGGACTGGGTTTGAACCCTCCACCTCCGGCATATGGGGCTGGCGCCCTACCCTTTTGAACCACAGGCACCACCCGTTTTTCTTTTCTTCTTTTCTTTTTTTTGAGAAGAGTCTCACTATGTCATCCTTGGTAGAGTGCTGTGGTGTCATGGCTCACGGCAACCTCCAACTCTTGGGCTTAAGCGATTCTCTTGTCTCAGCTTCCCAAGTAGCTGGGACTACAGATGCCCACCACAATGCCTGGCTATTTTTTTTGTTGTAGTTGTCATTGTTGTTTGGCAGGCCCAGGCTGGGTTTGAACCTGCCAGCTTCAGTGTAAGTGGCTGGCGCCCTAGCCGCTGAAGAGTTTTTTTTTGCACAGCACTGAAAAATGATGGCTTCTCTTCAAATATCCTAACTTTAAGGTGTTACTAGGAGAATCTTGCTGCTGCCTGCTAATAAAGGAACATCCATAATTATCCCATAACTTCATTGAGTTCTTGTGCTTATTTTCTCCACTTTAAAGTATGTCAGTTACTAGCTCGGACCCATAGCTCAGTGAGTAGGGTGCCAGTTACATACACAGAAGGTGGCTGGATTAAGCCCAGCCTGGGCCTGCTAAACAATGACAACTGCAACCAAAAAATAGCCAGGCTTTGTGGTGGGGCACCTGTAGTCCCAACTACTTGGGAGGCTGAGACAAGAGAATTGCTTAAGCCCAAGATTTGGGGGTTGCTGTGAGCTGTGATGCCACAGCACTCTACCGAGGGCGACATAGTGAGATTCTATGTCTCAACAAAAAAAAAAAGTTAGTTCCTAAAATTACTTCTGAGTACTGCTGGGGAAAAGGTTCTGGTATTTGTTGGAGTATGCCAGGTAAAATTAAAGTGAAGACATCAACAGTTTTAACAAAGTAAACCTATGTTCTATTGCAGTTTGCTGTGAAATATCTAATTGTACCCCACCCCAAGCCCATAGTTCTCTCTCTCCCCCAGAATATCATGAAATGCAATGTATTTATTTAACCAGTTTTGCTGACTAACAACACTAAATTCCAAAAAGTTTCAACCCACAACATTTTGCTCTGAAATCCCAGTGAGAAGGCAGGCACTGTGACAGGAGTTGAGAGCGCTGAGTTCCAGTTCTAGCTCTGACTAACTTTGTGACTTCCACAGCACTGGACCTCAGTTTCCTCCCTTCAAAATGGGGCGAGGATGGGGGCTGATCTGGAATGTGTGTATGTGGGTTTTTTTTTCTTTTTGAGACATAGTCTATGTCGCCCTAGAGTGCAGTGGCATCAAAGGTCACAGCAACCTCCCACTCTTGTGCTTAAGCGATTCTTGCCTCAGTCTCCCAAGTAGCTGGGACTACAGGTGCCCGCCACAACGCCCGGCATTTTTAAATTTTGGTTGTAGCTGTCATTGTTGTTTGGCAGGCCTGGGGTGGATTCGAACCCGCCAGCTCCGGTGTACGTGGCTGTCGCCCCAGCCGCTGAGCTACAGGATGATAGTCTCTGATTCGCTGAGTCGAATCACAAAAGTTGGGGAAAGCAAGCTCAGATCCCCACTTTGTGGAAGAGAAAGGCGAAGAAAAGGGCCGCAGCGGGAAGCGGAATCCACCAGACTCACTTTCCTCGGGAAGAAACAGCGGGCAGCAGCTGCCGTGGGCGGCGCCCGGGGCGTGAAGTTCCCTTCCTGCCTGCGCAGGCCCTGGCGCCCCAGCGAAACGCTCCGGCCGTCCTCCGCTCCCCGCACTCTGGTTCCCTGGCCGCCTGGGGGGACGCGGTTGGCAGAGACACCAGAGGGGGGCGGGTCAGGAAGTGGGGGCGCGGCGGCCGGGAGCGGGCTGGGGCGGCCAAGGGGTTCGGCGACGCAGAGGGAGGGAGCCTGTAGGCCGCTCGGTAGGAGGAAGGGCGCCCCCGCCTCCGTGGAGACGATGGCGGAGGAAGAAGGTGACGGCCCCGGGGTCCAGCGCTCCACGTACTGCCAGTGGTCTGGGGAAAAGAGGCGGGGGGGTGAGGTCCTGGAGGCCTGCGCTGCGGCGGCCGGTGGCGGCGGCCGCGTGGGAGGGAGCGAAGGAACGGGGAGGCGGGGAGGGGTTTGCGGAGAAATTCAGCTGCAGCGGAGTGAATGGCTCGAAGTTTTGTCGGTGGAATTGGGAGGCAAAGGTGGAGCTTAAAGTTGGGAATCGGTGGCGAGAGTGAAAGCTTGTGGGGAGTGGTTGAGAGGGTGGGTTGTGAGCAGATCATTAATGAAGTTGGGGGATGTGGTTTGATTTAGAAAAGGTAGGTTTAGCTGCGGAGTGCATATTTGAATGTGATAGTTGTTTAAATAAATGCCCCTCGTTCTGAATGGGCCCTTGGAAGGTCTGTGGATACTGACAAACACAAAGTCACTGGCAGAGGGGACGCTCGTCACAGGCATAAATGGAGGCGGAGATTTGGGATAAACACAGTAAGGTGAATTGGGGAGGGGACGAGAACGCAGAAACTGGAGAAGGCCCAGTTCACTTATGGTTTTGGCAGAAAAGGCAAAGGGTCGAGAGGCATGTAAGAAGTTTTGGGGAATGATGAGGCCAGGAGGGCTTTGAGCGTGGGTGGGCTAGAGAAAGGTTTCTAAGTCCCCTCAGGGCCAATGCCAGGAAATTCAATTGATTTAGCAATAATTATTTATAGGGTATGATAGGTGTAAGAGAAAAAAGGGAAGTTGGAAGAAACTTACCAGGCAGTGATAGATACTGATAGGAATATTCGTGGCATAACAACTTCAAGATACCCTTTACTTGATCAGGAACTGTATATGGTGAGGCACTTGACTAAACAGGTTTTGCGTTCTGGTGGGAAACACAACTTTTTACCTTCTGAGCAGAAATGAACAATAGTAACTTGATCTAATTGAGACTTAATACTTTTTTTTGGAGACAAAAGTCCTACTATGTCACCCCCGGTAGAGAGCTGTGGCGTCACAGCTCACAGCAACCTCAAACTCTTGGGCTTAAGTGATTCTCTTGCCTCAGGTTCCCAAGTAGCTCGGACTACAGGCGCCTGCCACAACGCCCCACTATAGATTTAATACTTTTTGAACCTAGATTGCAAGGAGGAAGTTTTGAAACTTTAGTAGAAGGAACTTTTTAACTCTATTACATGTAAGAAGTGTTTACTGGTCTGTGACTTGCTGCCCTTGTCCCTATGCTCTTGCTAGGTTCATTCATAGTATTTGCCTCCTCCGCTTGAGTTTTCAATGTGTTAAAGCTGATCTAAATTTAAGACACTCTAACTAAAACCAGCTTCAAAACCAAAGCTATTTGTAGTTGGTATGGAAGACTGTAACTCCCATTTGTTTCTTTGCTTCTGTCTGTGGTTACATATATTATCATTTGAAACATTTCTTTTTTTTTTTTTTTTT